GTAATCAACTTTCATATTAATATAATATTAATATAGTGCACTACGAACGTATCGAAATCGAATAAATATTTACATAATCCACTACGAATTAACGTAATCCATTACAAAATTATCAAAATCCACTACAAAATTAACTTAATAACGTACCGAAATCGAATAAATATTTACATAATCCACTACGAATTAACGTAATCTATTACAAAATTATCAAAAACCACTACAAAATTAACGTAATAACGTATCGAAATCGAATAAATATTTACATAATCCACTACGAATTAACGTAATCCATTACAAAATTATGAAAATCCACTACAAAAGTTATCAAGATCCAATACAAAATTAACGTAATACATGGATTGAAATCCACTATTCGAATAATGTAGAAATCAGTATGAAATTATCGTAATCAACTTTAATATTAATATAATGCACTACAAACGTATCGAAAATCGAATAAAATTTACATAATACACTACGAATTAACGTAATCCATTACAAAATTATCAAAATCCACTACATTAACGTAAAATATGGATTGAAATCCACTACATACTCATTGAAAATCACTATAAATTCATTGAAAAACACTATTCGATTACGTAGAAATCAGTATGAAATTATCGTAATCAACTTTAATATTAATATAATGACTACAAATGTATCGAAATCGAATAAAAATTTACATAATCCACTACGAATTAACGTAATCCATTACAAAAGTATCAAAATCCACTTTATAGGTTAAAGTAATCCACTACAAAATTAACGTAATATATGGATTGAAATCCACTACATACTCATTGAAAACCACAATAAATTCATCGAAAACCAGTATTCGATTAAAGTAGAAATCAGTATAAAATTATCGTAATCAACTTTCATATTAATATAGTGCACTACGAACGTATCGAAATCGAATAAATATTTACATAATCCACTACGAATTAACGTAATCCATTACAAAATTATCAAAATCCACTACAAAATTAACTTAATAACGTACCGAAATCGAATAAATATTTACATAATCCACTACGAATTAACGTAATCCATTACAAAATTATCAAAAACCACTACAAAATTAACGTAATAACGTATCGAAATCGAATAAATATTTACATAATCCACTACGAATTAACGTAATCCATTACAAAATTATGAAAATCCACTACAAAAGTTATCAAGATCCAATACAAAATTAACGTAATACATGGATTGAAATCCACTACATACTCATTGAAAACCACTAGAAATCCATCGAAAACCACTATTCGATTGAAAACCACTACATACTCATTGAAAACCACTATAAGTTCATCGAATAACACTACAAGCTTATCATCACCCAACATGGTCCCACTTGCTGCCAACACACGCTTGTGCTTGAATCTAAACCAAAGAAAAATAAGACAACAACGTGTCAATTTAATTCATTCACTAAAAAAACAAGAATTTAAAATC